GAGGAGGAGGAGGAGGAGGAGGTGGTGGTGGTGGTGGTGGTGGTGGTGGTGGTGGTGGTGGTGGAAGCAAAGATGATGACGTCGACAACGACAACCCTTGTCATGAGATTTCTTGCTACGAAGAAGCAGGATCCTGAACGTCTATCATCTTCCTATCCCATCCCACCTCCTCACCGGAAAGACTCTCGTGCCCTCAGAGTGCAGCGTGTGTTTGAGCAGGCAGGGCAAGAGGAGGCAGTGCGGCAACTGATTTCACTGACAAGAACCAGCAGCAAGAGACCACATCTCGACAAGTTACATGTACATCTCAGAATCCTTCACTTGTCCCTGGACAAGCTCGAAAAAAATCGTGCGGGAAATTTCTTCTTCATGCTACTGAAGGCTTTCCCATACCCACCGCAGGCGCTGCTGCGAGAACCTCGAGCGCCTCCCCCTGCCGATCGAGCGCGCGGAAGGCAGTGGCAGCGATGTGCTTGGCCTGCGGGAGGATCAGGAGGGGAAGAGGATTGAGAGAAGGGGGGGAGCAGAGAAGAAGGTAAGGAAGGGGGGGGGGGGGGGCAGGTCTGTGAAGGGAGGAAGAAGGAGAGGGAGAGATCGGAGCGAGTCTCAAGATTTCTCCTTACCTGCAGCCCAGCAAAGTCGTACTGCTGCTTCTGCCCACCAGCCTCCACGAACTGATCCGGGAGGACCATGACGCGGAGGCGACACTTGCCCGAGTCCAGCAGACCCTCGTTGGTGAGAAAGTGGTTGACGTGGTCTCCGAAGCCCCCGACGGCTCCTTCCTCCACCGTGATGAGGACGTCGTGCTCTTCGACGAGGCTCCTGCAGGAAGGTGAGGGAGGAGCGAAGGGGAGTGGGAGCGCGAGGAGAAGGGGAGGGAGAAGGGGAGGGGAGTCGGAGGGAACAGGAGGTGCTAGAGAAAGGGATGCCGGATGTATGGAGAGGCAGCCCGAGCAAGGAACAACAAAGATGTCGGAGAAATGGGGCAAGGATGGAGAGCAGGAGGAATGGAGGAGGCGGGAAGAAGGAGGAGAGGGAGGAGAGGGAGGAGAGGAAGGAGAAGGGGGCGGTGTGTGTAGGGGGGGACTGACCGGATGAGCTCCTTGTCGAGTGGCTTCATGTAACGAGCGTCAGCGATGGTGACGCCGATACCGTTTCCTTCCTGCTGGATCATACGAAGAGCTCGCACGGCCTCGCACAGCCTCGTGCCGAGGGAGAGGATGGCGACCTTGGTCTTGGCCTCCGGATCCGCCCTCCTGATCATCCTTCCTTCTCCCACGGGTAGGGCGCTGACCTCGGAGGGGAGAGGAGTTGACTTGAGATTGTACCCGAAGAGCTTGTTGAGCCCCTCGGCCCCGAAGCCGTTCCCGCGCGGGTAGCGGACGACGCTGGGCTTGTCATCGATAGCATGTGCAGTCTTGACCATCCTCATGAGCTCGATCTCGTCTGCCGGCGCCATGATAACGATGTTGGGGAGGGTCCCCAGGTACGCCAGGTCGAAGCAGCCGTGATGGGTTGGCCCGTCGTTGCCGACGAGACCCGCACGGTCGACCATGAAGCGAACCGGGAGAGACTGAATGATGCAGTCGTGAATGACCTGGTCGTACCTAGAGCCCGAGTGAGAGGAGGAAGAAGAAGGAGAGGGAGAAAGATGCGAGGTCAGGAAGATGTTGAACTTGAGGAGAAGGGTGGAGGGCGATGGGGAGGATGGGATAGGAGGGAGGAGGAGGAGGAGGACGATGGAGGAGGAGGAGGAGGAGCCTTACCCTCTCTGGAGGAAGGTGGAGTAAATGGCACAGAAGGGCTTCAGGCCATCCACTGCCATGCCGGCAGCGAAAGTCACCGCGTGCTGCTCGGCGATGCCGACGTCGAACGTTCGCTTGGGAAAGATCTTTCCGAACTTGTCCAGCCCCGTCCCTCCCGGCATGGCCGCGGTGATGCCGCAGACCGTCGGGTCCTGTCGCGCGAGCTCGACGAGGGTGTCGGCGAAGACAGACGTGTAGGAGGGAGGGCCGCTCTTGGGTTTCTTCTGCTTCCCGGTCGCAATGTCGAACTGAGCCACCCCGTGCATTTTGTCCGAGGCCTTGAGGGCGGGCAGGTAGCCGTAGCCCTTCTCAGTCTTCACGTGCAGCAGCACAGGCTTCTTCGACTCCGAATCCCTCAAGTTCTCAAGGATGGGGATCAGGTTCTCCAGGTCGTGACCGTCGATGGGACCCAGGTAGTAGAACCCCAGCTCCTCGAACAAGACTGCCCCCTCCTCCCCTGACACGAAGCCGCGGCCGAACTCGTCGATCTTCCTGGTGATCTTCTGCAGGTCCTCGGGCAGCAGCTTCGTCAGCGTCTTGGCCACACTCCTAGCGTCCTGGAAGGGGCGAGACGAGAGGATTCTGCTGGTAGAGCCGGACAGGGCACCTGCTGGTACAACTCCGGCGGCCGAGGGAGTCCCAGTGGGGAGGGAGACCTGGCCGTTCTCGTTGAGGATGACGATCATCCTCTGGTTGAGGTAGCCAGCACAATTCATGGCCTCGTACGCCATCCCCCCCGTGATGGCTCCATCCCCGATCACCGCGATGCAGTTGTTCACGGGCTTCCCCGTCAGGTCCTTGGCGACGCTCATGCCAAGGGCTGCGCTGATGGAGGTGGACGAGTGCCCAGCTCCGAAGCAGTCGAACTCAGACTCCTTCCTCTTGGTGAAGCCCGACAGCCCTCCCCACTGCCTCAGGGTGCTGAACCTTGACCTCCTCCCGGTCAGCATCTTGTGCGGGTAGCACTGGTGGGCGACGTCCCACACGATCCTATCCTCGGGAGCGTTGAACACGTAGTGAAGGGCAACCGTGAGCTCCGTAACGCCAAGGGAGGAGGAGAGATGTCCTCCAGTCTTGGATACAGACTCGATCACCTCCCACCTCAACTCGTACGCCAGCTGCTTCAGCTCGGCCATGCTCAGCTTCTTCATGTCAGAGGGGAAGTTGACTGAGTCCAGCACGGGCTTCGGCTTCGCGACATAGTCGCTCGTCACCTCCATCGTCGGCCCAACCTTGGCGCAGGTTCGCGGGGCATGGCGGCTGCGACCGAAGACCATCGGCCGGTGGGCGGCGATGCGACCATGGGTGTGCAGTTGAGGGACGATGGAGAAAGAGATAACAGTTTCCACTCCTAGCAGAGCAAAGCAGATGGCTGCACACAAAGGTGCGCCGTAGGACCTCCGCATGTTGCCAAGACCTGCAGGAAACTGGTGGTCACTGGAGAGCAAGCAGGTTGTGAAAGTTCTCACTACGCCGTTCCCTCTTCCCTTCCTCGCTGTCCCCTCCTCCCTCCCTCCCTCTGTCTTTGTCTCCCTATCCCTATACCTCTCCCTAAAGCTGAAACTTCCTAAAAGCATCTCATCACAACCAGGGGAACTAAATACTTGCGGTCTCAGAGACTACCTCACATTCTCTCTTCACGCGTCATCCTCCAACATGTTGCAGCACCTCCAATCACAATCTTCACGAGCAGATACCGAACTCTGTCTATGCTCTTGTTATTTTCCACTACAGTTCTACCACACAAAGTCTTTGCTTCTTGCTTGCCACTCCTGCCTCTCCTTCCCAAGGGTAAATCGTCCTCCCTCCTTGGCCAGGAGGCGCAAACAGCGCTCCTCCCTCAAAACTTGGCTCTTCACGCCGCGAGACGAGGTCCAACACGGAACCATGATCTCCTCCTCATCCTGATCTCTCCTCCTGCATCCTCCCTCCCCCCTCCTCCCCCCTCTCCCTCTCCTCGCCTCACCTGTCTTCCGCTTCCTTGTCGTCCTCCTTTGGCCAGAGCGGCCTCCTCTCCCGCTCCCTCCAGGGGTCCCCCCCTCCTTATAAGTTCTTTACCACCCGTTGAGCTAAAAACACTTATATCCATCACCGGTTACATCCGTTACTTGACCTGCCAGCCCGGCTCAGTCGGTGGCCCAGTGGCCCCGCCGGTGTCACTCAGGCTCACCGGGGTTAAGCCTGACGAACTCAGCCGTTGCCAGTCACTTTCCACTACTGCGGGGGCATGTCACTGGCTACTCGGAGGAAGGCGGTCGAATCCACCCGGGCTGAATCACCGGCGCAGCCTTGCAATTCAAGCAGCGTGGACCGCCGGTACTCAGGCGGCTGAGTAGCTGCGGCCCGCCGTCCGACCGCGGAGCGGCTGACGCCCGGCAAGCAGTGACCAAGCCTGACAACTAGCCAGAGAATAATTGAAAAAACAATCTTTCAAACCTCATTCAAAACACTTTTAAATACACTTGAGGGTCAAACCGAAAAAGATTTGGAAAACTTGAGTGAAAGAATCTGAGGCAGGCTTGCATTTACAGCTGAATTGCCAGCGAGCCAAGCTTCAACCATACAAAACTCTTGGATCTGTTTTTCAAATATTTGCCCCAACCTGCCAAAATTCTTAAAAACATTTTGTTGCATCCCGTAAGAATTTCAAAAACGATCATTTTTAAAAAGTTCTGCAACTCAGTCGACATTGTCGAGTAAACTATTTGGTACTAAAATGGGTGAAACTTTGCGGGGGGTGGGTAGGCGGTATTGCAGCCTTCCTGCCGGCTGCTAACCACCACCGCGATAGAGGCGGGTTGTTACAAGTCTCAGACGGCCCTCGCCTCACCACCCCTCCATTCTCCATTCCACGGTAGGGTGACCACCACCCGGCGCTCAGCCGGCGATACCGGCGGGCCTGGCGAGTAAGTGTCAGTGTCGGTCTTTATATGTCCCGCCTCATCCCCCCGCACCCAGTCCCCGGCCTCCTGCTATCTGTCCTGCTATGCGGAGAGCTATGCGGACACGAGGGAAAGAAGCAGCGTGACAGAGGGCAGGACGAGGATGGAGGGAGGGGGAGAGAGACAGAGACAGAAGAGTTGAAGGAAGATCGACATCAAGTAGAGGTGATGGAGGACAGGGGATGGTAGGTTAGGATAGGAGCAATCAAGTTTCAGAAGCATCGAACGTTCTTGCCTTCTTCTGACGTTGGTCATGCAGTCATGAAGGCTCAGCAGCAGTTGCGAGCTCTCGTCGTCGCCATGACAGTCTTGGACGTCTCTGCGTTCATGCGAGGGATGCTCTCCCCATCCTGGAGCACGGGCAGAGCTGCATTGATCAGCAGCAAGCAGTCCCTTCCTTCGACGCCAGTCTCCCTCCTCCAGCTCAACATGGTGGCAGCCAGCCCCAAGTCCTCCATGCAGAGCTCTACCGCCAAGGCGCTCAAGAAGGCGTCTGGAGCTCTCACGGTGAGCGTGACATTGGACGAGAAGGTAGGAGGAAAGAAACCGACGGAAGTCGAAATCCTCTCCTCCATCCTCCGACGATCTAAGATCGCGAGCCTCTTCGTCCCCCAAGAACTCGTGAGGATGTTCGCAGAGGAGCAGAAGACCGCTAAGGGGAACTTCCCCGGCCCTTGTCCTCTCGTGCTCAGGGAAGTTGTGTCGGACGCTGAACACATCGAGCTTGCTGCCTCCAATGGGGCCTCTGCCGTGATCGTGCGGGCAGGGCACGCCGACGCTTCCTCGCTGTGCGAGCAGGCGAAGAAGAAGGGGCTGAGTGTGATCTGGGAGGTTGAAAGCGCAGAGGAGATGAAGAGCTGCGAGGAGAAGGGAGAGAACATGCTGCTCGTGGACGAGAAGAACGCGGACATTCTGAGCGGGGCGAGCAAGACCAGCGTCATCATCGGAAGGGTCTCGGCGATGCAGGCGCAGAACGAGGAGGTGAAGAAGAGCAGAGACATGCAGAGCAAAGGATGCTGCGCTATCGTGCTGGAAGATGCGGTAGTGGGGGACGGAGAAGACCTGCCCTACGTGCGATGGGCCATGGAGGCGATCCTCAGCAAGGCGAGCACTGAGTTCAAGATCACAGGAATGACGGTGAGAAGGAGGAAGAGGAAGGAGGAGGATGAGGAAAAAGGAGGAGGAGGAAGGAGGAGGAGGAAGGAGGAGGAGGAAGGAGGAGGAGGAGGCGGAGGAGGAGGAGGAGGAGGAGGAAGAGGAGGAGATTGGTAAGGAAGCCGAGGGAAAGGGCAGGGGTTATATGAGGAGGATAGCATGAATGCGAAGGAGATTGAATCATTAACGAAAGAGAATCGAGGATTGGGGAATGGGAGAGAGCGGAGAAGGGCGAGGAGGAGGAACAGGAGGAGAAGGAGGACGGTGACTGGACATGTGCAGGGTCACGTTAACGGACACTATGGCACTGGGACGTTTGAGCGATCGGACAAGCAGATGGAATGGAAGAGAAAACAAGCCTAAGGCTCCTCCTCACTCCTCACTCCTCCTCCATCGTTTTCCTTCCTCCATCTCCTTCCTGCCCTCCTATGCTACGCCCCTCCCCTTCCTCAGCTCAGGGCGTTTTTCTTTAGTGAGATTTTGCAAACAGTCAGCGGCTGAATTTCTGCTCCTTC